TTTAGAATAGCAACAAATGTATATTTAACTATACAATCATACCGTACATACTTCACTTTAGAATAGCAACAAATGTATATTTAACTATACAATCATACCGTACATACTTCACTTTAGAATAGCATCAAATATTAACAGATTAGCACATCCACCATTTATGCAATAGAAAACCAGAGACTGAAATTTAGGGTATCATCTGAATTATTCAGTACAATAGTTAAAGAAAACAAAACAGCATTGCTTTATTTTGACTGAAACTTTTTAAATTCAATGGGCAGAAATATAAGCACGTAGATATGTAGAATAAGTTTTATAACAGTCAGATTCCAGGTTGATCATATTCAACAAACAGATTTCATGTTAAACATATTGAACAGTCAGATTCCAGGACTCAACAAACAGATTTCATGTTAAACAGATTCAACTGTCAGATTCCAGGATTCAATAAACAGATTTCATGTTAAACAGATTCAACAGTCAGATTCCAGGATTCAATAAACAGATTTCATGTTAAACAGATTCAACAGTTAGATTCCAGGATTCAACAAACAGATTTCATGTTAAACAGATTCAACTGTCAGATTCCAGGTAAAAAGATCACACATCTCTACCATTACTTCTCTCAAATGGAATTTTCAATAACTGTAAGTTATATTTTCAAAGCCTAACTAAGACATCTTAAGTACATGTATCAGACACTTAAGATCACCATCATACCAACACATTCCACAGGCACTGATGAAGAAATATCCTACCTTTTTCTATTTCTGGAGTGTGTCCTTGATCGTGACCTTGAACTTGACTTTGACCTGGACCTTGACCTTGACCAAGAAGATGACTTGTGCCGGCGGCTTTGTGACCTTGACCTTGAGGGCCGGGAGTGGCGAGTGACCGGGGAGGGAGACTTGTACGGGAGTTTTGGTGACGGCACTGACTCCTTGGTCTTCGGACCTACAGTGGGGGAGTAACTCAGTGACCGACTAAGGCGCTTGTGGACAGGGTCTGGGGACCTGTAAAACAACACACGTCATCATTAATGGCTTGTGGACAGGGTCTGGTGACCTGTAAAACAACACGTCATCATTAATGGCTTCTGGACAGGGTCTGGGGACCTGTAAAACAACACACAACATCATTAATGGCTTGTGGACAGGGTCTGGTGACCTGTAAAACAACACTCGTCATCATTAATGGCTTGTGGACAGGGTCTGGTGCCCTGTAAAACAACACGTCATCATTAATGGCTTCTGGACAGGGTATGGGGACCTGTAAAACAACACACAACATCATTAATGGCTTGTGGACAGGGTCTGGGGACCTGTAAAACACCACAGGTCATCATTAATGGCTTGTGGACAGGGTCTGGGGACCTGTAAAACAACACGTCATCATTAATGGCTTGTTGACAGGGTCTGGTTACCTGTTAAACAACACACGTCATCATTAATGGCTTGTGGACAGGGTCTGGTGACCTGTAAAACAACACACATCATTATTAATGCTTCCTTTCTGGAGGGTTCATATCCATAAGATAGCAAGTTCTTTTGAAAATACAGATGAGAACTTTTAAAAAGTATCTATATGACTCAATGTAATGTGGTTAAGCGGAAACTTGGTCATTACTGATGTATCTTCACCATAACATATATATATATAAGAAATATATTTTCAATGACAACATACATCATTACCATGCCAACAGACTTCATAACAATGACAACATACATCATTTCCATGACAACATACATCATTACCATGACAACATACATCATTGCCATGACAATATACATCATTTCCATGACAACATACATCATTTCCATGACAACATACATCATTTCATTGACAGCATACATCATTACCATGATAAAAGATAGCATAATCATGACAACATACATCATTACCATGACAACAGACATCATTACCATGACAACATACATCATTGCCATGACAACATACTTCATTACCATGATAAAAGACAGCATAATCATGACAACATACATCATTACCATGACAACATACATCATTACCATGGCAACAGACATCATTACCATGACAACATACATCATTACCATGACAACATACTTCATTACCATGATAACATACATCATTACAATGACAACATACATCATTACCACGACAACAGACTTCATTACCATAACAACAGACACATATTTTCTATCTTTCCGTACTAACATGCATTTTTAATTACCATGACACCAGACAGCTTTTCCATTTCAACAGACATCTTTAATACCATGACAGTAGACCACTTTACCATGGAAACATACTACTGTAATTTGTTACTATGTAAACAAAGCATCACAACAACAGACATTTTTGTGACACAGTCATCTTTACGATGACCGAGAGCTAACCTGGATGAAGATGAGCTGTGGTTATGTTTATGTTGCGTGGCTGTGTTGTGGCCGTTCGTTTTCAGCGTTTTCTTCCTGAAAGTAAAATATCACTTTTAATACATGCTCACTGTGTTAAAAGCAAAAGTCAAGGATGTCTACTTAATAGAAAGGTTAACTGAATATCAAGTGTGTGCCTTACAATAAAACAAAGGCTAATGAGACCAGACTTGTTAAGAAATAATCAACATATGTGCCTGTATCATGGTGGAATATATAACGAGGGTGAGAAAATGTTTGGAATAATAATTAACGAAGGCCACTTAAGCCTGAGCTTATTATTTACCAAATTTTTGAATCCCAAGTTATATTTCCACCATAATGTACAAACATATGTTGATTATATCTATTCTACTTAGTAAAATGTTATAAATTAAGTCTTTTTCGTGTCTACCTGCATGACTATACAATAAGCAAGGTATCCATGTTTTTTATCATTTCTGACCTTTTGGGGTAGTTAGTTGTCCTTTTTTCTCTCTTTTTAACCTGGATACATTTTGTAAGGATTTCTCATTTTCAGTTGCCATTAGGTCGACAGACGATCAACAATACCTTCATGCTTTATACCAGATGTTTATTTCAGTCAATCTATTGACATCACTGGTCAACACATGAAACCAGCATTTGACAGATTTATCAACATTACTTCAAGTCTCCTTTGCGGTATATTTTGCTGAACATTCTGACAGTGAGATTGACAGGTTTAATGTTGCTCTAGGTTACATAGATACTGTTTTGCTTGCTAGCAAATCTTCGAATACATACAAAATGAAATGCATGTACCCTAGTTTGATAAAGGAGACCAGCTCTGCAGCTTGCTTGTTAACGTTTGCGAGGGAGGTTTTTGGGAGAGCATTGGATGAATCATCCTATAATACGTGTAGTTATTAACCAACGAAAAACGTCATAACATGGAAGATGTGGTGAATTATGTGTAGATGGAAAAAGATTAATAAGGGAAGGGCTATAAAAAGAACCACGAATGGTCCTCTAACTATCCTAGCATTACAAAGAAGTATCAATATTTGCATGCGACCCATTAATACACCACCTACATACAACTGCCTATCACAGTGACTGGTAAAGAGGAGACTAAGCCAGAAAAATACATTCTATGTCATACAAGGTACCTGATGTAAGCAGTTGATGCTGTTGGTTCAGGAAAGAATAAATAGATAAATAGTTTATATTTAGGTTGAGTAAATCTCTGTCTTTCTGAAGATAATTTGAAGTAAAATTAAATGGTTGAGGGTGGTGAGATGACTGAAATGTAGGATAGTATTTGTAGACAGTCACACATTACACCGAGTGAACTCTGCAATCAACAGCCTATATACAGTTGTTTGTTGACAGTCACACATTACACCGAGTGAACTCTGCAAACAACGACCTATATACAGTTGTTTGTAGATAGTCACACATTACACCGAGTGAACTCTGCAAACAACGACCTATATACAGTTGTTTGTAGATAGTCACACATTACACCGAGTGAACTCTGCAAACAACGACCTATATACAGTTGTTTGTAGATAGTCACACATTACACCGAGTGAACTCTGCAAACAACGACCTATATACAGTTGTTTGTAGATAGTCACACATTACACCGAGTGAACTCTGCAATCAACAGCCTATATACAGTTGTTTGTAGACAGGCACACATTACACCGAGTGAACTCTGCAATCAACGACCTATATACAGTTGTTTGTAGACAGTCACACATTACAACGAGTGAACTCTGCAATCAACAGCCTATATACAGTTGTTTGTAGACAGTCACACATTACACCGAGTGAACTCTGCAATCAACGGCCTATATACAGTTGTTTGTAGACAGTCACACATTACACCGAGTGAACTCTGCCATCAACGACCTATATACAGTTGTTCGTTGACAGTCACACATTACACCGAGTGAATTCTGCCATCAACGACCTATATACAGTTGCTTGTAGACAGTCACACATTACACCGAGCGAACTCTGCCAACAACGACCTATATACAGTTGTTGGTAGACAGTCACACATTACAACGAGTGAACTCTGCCAAAAACGACCTATAAACAGTTGTTTGTAGACAGTCACACATTTCACCGAGTGAACTCTGCCATCAACGACCTATATACAGTTGTTTGTTGACAGTCACACATTACACCGAGTGAATACTCAGCATTACCCAATAAATCTTAGTGCTTCACAACCTAGATTACTGCCCTGACATTAATGAAGTTGTAGATCTGTCTCAGGTTTATATCAGGTGTCACATTTACATGTTAACTAGGTCATGGTGAACAAGCTTTCATCAGTACATCAGAACAAGTGTGTAACATTTATAGGTCAATTAGGTCACCCTGACCTTATTTATCATCAAGACATGTGAAAAGTGTGTCACACATATTGGTACCTGTCAAGTTCAAGTTCTTCATACTTTGAGTATTACAGCCAAGATATGGTACATTTTTGTTTTGTTCTATTAAAATCTTTTCCATTAAATGTTGAGCACTCAATATAAATAAACCATTATTAGATACTGACCTACTTTTATTGATATTAAACAAGAGTTTAAATATAATGGTGTTTATTATAAGGGCAGAAGGCACATCGATATACCTACAGAATAGTACATCTTCATAGCTTCATATCTATACAGAGATTCAAGCTGTCCCATATATAGCTGTTCTATTAATATAACTCAACAGGACTGACGCATGCAAAAAATAATCCTGCAACCTAAATCCTTGTCATACAAATATAGCACAGCCTCATGAGTATGAAGTCATAAATTTATTTCGGTATGACTATACATCACACTTTAACTCGAGAACTTATTTAAGGTTTTTGATGTCAGTCCTGTGGTGTGGAAAGACGGTAAAATATGACATACATATAACACACATTGACTAGGTTATTATAAAAAAAGCCTACCTTGGACTTGGACTTCGGGAGCTATCTGATGAAAATGACACTGAACTCCTCGTAACCTTCGGAGATTTTGACCTTGACCTTGTGATCCTTTTGGCAGTTAGACTTTCTGGCAGATGAATGGGGCTCGATGAACTTTTCTTACTTTTTTCTGTAAGCTTTACTTTCTCACCATCAAATGCTGAACTGCAAATGAAACAATGTTGTTTCATCATTAAACCTGTTGTCTTGTCTATATGTATAATACTGTACGTGTACCAATGTTAGCGGAGTTCTAACTTTAGCAGCTTTCGAACTACATCTCACCTGCTTATTCATGTCCATCGCTAAAATTAGACCATATAAATGTGCACAAGCTTTCCATACAGAACTGTCTGCAAGAAAACCCAACTATTTGGTGGTGAAGTGGACGTAAAACCACTCAAACAAATAACCATATGAAAATCATAATAGTATTTTACGTTTTGGTCTAAGGTACTTGCCCAATTTACTTTGCCTCCCCCAGTTCCGTAGGCTTTGCTCCGATACACCCAGTACATGCATAATCGTTATTGTCTATTTCAGAAAATGACATGTGCTAAATCATGAATTTAGGTACATGTACTGCGATTTCGCTAATTTAAGAATGTGGTAGTAAGTAATACCCCCTGCTTTCTGCTGAAATTTTAGTGCGCTAATATAAGTAAGCTTACTGTATTTATTTTATACAGGTATATTTTATACTGCAAAATATACTGGTATATTTTATACTGGTATATTTTATACTGGTATATTTTATACTGCAAAATATACTGGTATATTTTATACTGGTATATTTTATACTGGTATATTTTATACTGCAAAATATACTGGTATATTTTATACTGGTATATTTTATACTGGTATATTTTATACTGCAAAATATACTGGTATATTTTATACTGGTATATTTTATACTGGTATATTTTATACTGCAAAATATACTGGTATATTTTATACTGGTATATTTTATACTGGTATATTTTATACTGCAAAATATACTGGTATATTTTATACTGGTATATTTTATACTGGTATATTTTATACTGCAAAATATACTGGTATATTTTATACTGGTATATTTTATACTGGTATATTTGACTATTATTAACATCTTTAATGTTGACACAATGATTTAACAACCTGAAGAAAGTTATATTTCCAAACAATAAAGGCCGAGATCTTGAGTTATACAATATTTTGAAAGTTGAAAATAATTGTATCATTATTGACTTCAACAGAGGTTAAACATTTCTTTGTTATATGACACTTTTATGTATAAGATCAGATAGAGACACTCTGTCGAGACGAGTTAGTCATTAAACACTTCTATGGGGTGGAGAAAATATGTTTACCAGGTACGTATACTCTACCCCCAGTGCTAGGTGTTCCAAGTTTGATACAAGATTATACCAAGATCGGCTAAGATGGCCTCTTTCAATCAGGTAGCAGTAAGTTTTTAAGTCATATAACAGTAATAGTTATCGAGTGTATGTGAAGTATANGGGGGGGGGGGGGGGGGGGGGGGGGGGGGGGGGGGCACGATGTCTGAGTGGCTAAGACATCTGACTGTCTACGATCACTAGCTTTACACCACTTGGTTGTGGGTTCGAGGCCTACATTGGGCAGTCTCCATGCAGGTACTAGCCACTGATTGGTGTTTTTTCTTCGGTTACTACAGTTTTCCTCCAAAACCTGGCTTATTGTCCTTAACCCTTTCACCACTGAGGACCATAATGGACTCATCCAGATCAATGAATGGTACAGTTTACTAAAGTTACATAGGGATGAATGGGTTAAATGACCATGTAGCTGTTTATAGGATGTAAAAATACAAACAAACCAAACAAAATATACACAAGGTGACACTGTCCACTGATGACCAGGAGCCACATAAGTCCTTATTAAGATCACAATTGATAAAAGGACAACTTTAAAAACAAGATGCCCAATGGGCCTGAATTGCTCACTTGGTATTAATCTCACACTTGTAATCTTAAAATTTGACTAAAATACAGCTACAGGCAGAATATCAGTGTTTGATTCATAAGAACCTATTAAAAGATTTAAACATATGACGCCTGTGACCTTGAATGTCGAACAAGGAAATAAGGTTGAACAGAGTTTATAGTCTTTCAACCCTGAGCATGCTTCTGGCAAAATATCATTACCCTAGACCTTTTGGTTATACAGAACATATCATTTAAAGATTTAAACATATATTGACCACTGTGACCTTGAATATGGGTGAAGGTCATTCACTTGGTAGTCCTTCATCCCAGCATGTTAATGGCTAAATATCATCACCCTTGGCCTTTTGCTTATTAAAAAGAAGTTTTTTAAAGGTTTTTAACAAATTTGACCCCTGTGACCTTGAATTTATGTCAATGTCATTCCTTTGAACAAACTTGGTAGTCCTTCATCCCAACATGTTACTGGCATTATTCTAGGCCTCTAGGTTATTCAGAAGAAGTTGTTTAAAGGTTAAAAACATATTTGGCCCCTGTGACCTTGAAAAAAGATGAAGGTCATTAATTTGAACAAACTTTGTAGTCCTTCATCCTAGCAAGCTACTAGCCAAATATCATCACCCTAGGCCTCTTGGTTATTCAAAAGAAGTTCTTTTAAAGGTTTTTAACATATTCAACACTTGTGACCTTGAATATAAATAAGTCAAGGTCATTTATTTGAACAAACTTGTAAGCCCTTCATCTGAGCATGTTACTGGCAAAATATCATCACCTTATACCTCTTGGTTATTCAGAAGTTGTTAAAAATCTTTTTCATTTGGACAAACTCAGTAGTCCTTTATTCCAGCATGCTACTGGCCAAATATCATCAACATCCTAGGCATTTTGGTTATTCAGAAGAAGTTGTATTACAGGTTTTTAACATATTTGACCCCTTTGACATTGAATATAAGTCAAGTTCATTCATTTGAACAAAATTGGTAGTCCTTCATCCTAGCATGCAACAGACCCAGTATCAGTATCCTGGGCCTTTTGGTTATTGAGAAGAAGTTGTTTCAAGTAAAATATTGACACCGGACGGACGGACGGACAGCAGACTCCGCACCACGGAGACACCTTAATCACTCGGCCACCATGGCCCCCCACACAGAAAAGAGTAGGTCAGATAGAACAGATAGAGGTGCTGAGATCATGTATTATAATGTTGACAGCAGATGAATTAAGGTCACTCAAGTGTCCCTTGATTTTGCAGAGGCATATTAGTGACCTCTTACGATCATGTAATGGGATACCACATGGCTATTTCTATTTCTCTAATTCCCCAAAAGTTGACAAAGTAAAACTAGGAGAAAGTGGACAGTGTTATAACGTCAAATTATCAAGATTATCTTTATAATAAGGCACACATATTATGTAGTTTAATATGCCTGTCTATTATACTCTGAGTATATAACATTTGTAAGTTTATAAATTCTATTTCAGTAACAACTAAGGCCCTTTATATGTGGCTGCATCATCAAAGTTATTGATATTTTAACCATGGCTGTAATTCTTCACTCTATTATTGATAATGAATTAAAACAACTATGATGGTGTTTTATGTTTGCCCCCCAAAATATGTAAAAGTGACCTGCCTTGCCCACCAATTGGCCTGTCGATACCGCTGGACAATGTTTGCTGTCGTTGGAGTCCTGGGATAGAAGAGTGACTTAACCTTATTTAGAATTCTATCTACCATAATAGCTGCCCCTGGTAATACCCACCCCCACACAATTCCCTCCCCCACTCCAGCAGTGACGCCAACACTGGTAAATTATTAATCCTCATTATGCGTGCCTTTGGGAAGGTATAGCATGGACCCACTATAACACATTCTACACCATAGGTATCACACAGGGACAACTTCTAAACATCATACAAATACAACGTTTTATTTCAGACTGATCAATCAGGAATTTTGGTAAAACAAATATTGTTGAATCATGTTTTGAAGATATCAAGGCTGTGTCCAATGTCACATTTCTATTTGTGTTACCGTGGTGACGTCAGCGACACACCAATCAAAGTCTTTACACAACCTCATGATGCGGGAGGTAACAAAATTGCCATAAAAATAGATGGCAATTAGTATCACTTCCCGCATTGTTATGTTTGTAAATGTCTGGGGACTTCATTAGCGCAGCTCTGGTGTACAGACAGCCACAGTTTGGTACTATGGCCCTGGCCTTTGTCACAGTATACATGGCCGAGTCAATAGAGTCCCTCGTCACTTTGTCAGAGTCAACATGGCCGAGTCACCAGATAAATTCCCACATTTATCTGGTACAGTATGATATATAGCACCTGGAATCGGCAGGGTTTAGGAATCACACCTGCATGATTTTGTTCCTAGTAAGTGAGGCAGATTTTATTGTACATAGGATTACGGTGGCCTTCTATGAGAGGAAATTTCCATTTAGCTTATTTAACTTATTCCCAAGACTTAATTTTCAATAAAACAACACAAAAGGATACAGTTATCGTTTATAGAACAACTTGTACAACATAAGTCCATTGTATTGGAAGTCTCCTGGCGGCTGTATAGGTATTCATTGTAACCCACAACCGGGCCCAATCAGGACTAGCACAAGCTGGGGTTTGTTGTGTGAAAAAAATCAACTTATAATTAGTGCCGCGGATCTCAGGCAGCTTCATTCTAGTCGTATACCTGATTTATAGGAAATAAACTATCTTAAAATATTCCGGTACAGTATATACTTTCATTAATTTCTAAATTAAAGAAAATAAGTATCTGTATGCTGGGGTATGAAAACTGATAATGAACCTATAATTTCAATTTGATTTTTCAAAAATTAAAATAGCTAAGATGGCCTAACGGAGCTTGCGATTGGTTCCTTATCCCTGCAATGATAAATCACCAATTTATCTCACCCTTGTTAATGATAGTTATATTGGATATGGAAATATCAAATTATTCCAGAAATATGTATGGCATTTTTATTTTCAAAAGAACTAGTAACTCATACAAATCCAATTAAAGCTGTAATGGATTGTAGAAGTGGGGTCCTGTTGCGGGTCCCATGGTGATGAGGTCCCGGAGCAAGCATCTATCTCAATTACAGCAACCACTACCCGGTAAATACACACATCAATCTTATAAGAATTAAACTAGATCAAACCTCGCTGCTCTATACGCTC